AAATATCATTAACAATTTATCGTCAGTTATTATGAAACACCCTTTATTGCTCGATTTATAACTATTTCAACTTTTTCCCGATCTCTATCAATGTTGACTTTTCAAAAACTGATTCGAACTCTTTAATGTGACCGATAAAAGAATCCTATAAGTAAAGTTTCATATGACTCGTGTTTTTCAAAATAGGCGTATTTCAACTTATATTCACTAAAATTTACATCGAGTCGTATTCATGGAAGCCGATTTAAAATTAAATGAGTTTTAACCTCTCAGTCTTTCTCGTCTTAAATTTAATCAGTGTCTTCTGTAAAAATAAAAACTATTGTTTTGGAAAGGATACTAGAACATTAGTAATCGAGAACAGCCTTCAGCTTTGAAACTTTTGCAAATTGTAGGTCATACTATCTTGTTATTCATCTAATTATAGTACCATTGAAAATTTCTCAACCATTAACTGATATCAATGTCCTTCTTGGCCAAAGCGGCACATTCTCATTCACTTGTGATGAATTCTCATCACCAACAGTAACATGGTTAGTGGTTTGAATAAATTTTAACTTCAGTACTTCACTACTTGTTTCTTTCGATCAGGCTCTTCAATGGTATCGTACTGAGAAATTCTGTCAAACACAAGATCAAATCCAAACAAAATACCTTCACACTCACCGTTAATCAATGCGATCATTCTGATGCCGGCACATATCATGCGCGAATTCAAAATGGTATCGATCAGACTAAACAAACAGCCAAACTTAATATTCGAAGTCAGTAGTCTCATAATCTCATATGCACAATATGAATAGCTACGTACTTTTTTTTAGCTCAACCCAAAGTTGAAGCTCCTAAATCAGTGAACCATCGATCGTGTGTCTTTGATCAAGATACTAAGATCTCGTGGAAGTTCAGTGGCATCGAGAAACCACAAGTGGCATGGTTCTTCAAAGGTGAACCGATTCCAGCTAACAATCGTTTTCAAGTGACTGAGACTGACGATGGAACATCGACACTATTGATTCGTCAAGCTGAACTTGCCGATCAAGGTGATTATATTGCTCGAGCAACCAATACTGTTGGTGAAGTCGAAGCTAAAACAACATTGAATATTGTTTGCATGAAACCTGTCATCAATACTGATCTTAATGCTGCAATAGAAGTCACAAAAGGTGAAATTATGACACTCAAAATTGTCGTAAGTGGAGCACCAAAACCTATTGTTATCTGGATGAGAGACAACCGTGAACTCACGTTCAATGATCGCATTCAAGTGACAACACCGACTGGTGATGATAATACATACACACTGACCATCTTGAATGTACAATCAGAAGATCAAGGAGAATATGCAGCCAAGATCTCCAATATTGGTGAATCACGCAAATCCAATAAGTGCAAAGTCACTGTTTCGAGTACGTCGTCTTGACTTTTCTTGTTCTTGTTCTTAGATACATATGCTCTTGTACACATGAAAACTTTTAATTGCAGTGTAAAGTCAAGCGAAACTGAACAACTGCTATCTCTCTCATTTATATTCACGCGTAGCACATCCTTCTTAAAGTTTATTATTCGTCTTGTGCGTTCGATTCATACAACTAATACAAAAATGTTTTAAAGCGTCGTCCAAATATGATACAGTTCGATAATGCGTCTTTCAATTGTTTTGAAAAGTTCAAATTTTCTCTAACAATGCACAGTTTAATATTGTTAGTAAAAAGCATTAGATATATTCGGATCTAGTTGAAGCTCTCACATTATGTTGAGTACGGAACACAACCCGATTCATTGAGTTCTCACATAATTGGAAAAACGGTTCTTGAAAGTGACTTTTTAAAGTACATGAAGCTACTAGAAGCTGATTATCAGATTGCACATCAAGTAAAAGTGAAGAACAAAATATGATTTTGCAATCGTTTACCGTCATTCGGTGATGAATTAGGTTTCTGTTTTTGGTCACTCACTGAAGGCCACAAATTTAGATGTGATCATTTTCTCATCGAACGACGACTGTACATAAATATGAATATATTATAGTGCGCATAGAAAAAATTGATAAGAATACGAATGAAATAGTTTCAACTTTTGATATTCTTTTTTTTTAAATGAGAACGTCTCAACTCGTCACGTGACGAGTTGAGCAAACAGCAAAAATCAGACCTTTCGTAACACCAAAAATAGGGATATCCAAAAATACAGGGATGTCGTAACGAAATTTACAGGGTGATCGTAACGATTAATACAGGGAGTTCGTAACAGTTGCAGAGCTTTCGCAACGGAGCAACAGGGGTTTCGTAATGAGGATAAGGGTGATAGCTGAACTGAGTTTGCAGAAATTACATGCTTTTCGTTACGAAAGCTCTGTAATGGTACATATTAAAGCACCAATTACGATCATCCTGTAAACTTTGTTACGAAACCCCTGATTTTTTGTTACGAAAGCCCTGATTCTGTCGTTACGAAAGCTCTGTCACGGGCTTTCGTACTGTCAATTCGTTACGAAAACCAGACAAGAAAAAACGTGACGAGTTGACACATTCCCTTTTAAATGCACATAGAAATATGAAGTTTCATTCTTTTTCTCAATCTATCGTGAAAATTGCGAGTTCGTTTGAGCTTTAAAAGAAAGTAGTATAATAAATAATGGAAAGTTCTCTAATGAAGTTACTAATATCTAATTATATTGCCATAAAGAATAATTTCTATTAAAAAGCGAGGAATAGAATGAAGATTTTTCTTTTTTAATTATTTTTAGTTGGTTTATTTCATTATTCATGATCCTCTCTCCCTCTCGCTCTATCTATTATTCGATAAAAGGACGTGAGATTATAATATTTTCTATACACATAAATGCATACGCATAATTACATCTTTCATAAAACTAAAAAAGTTCATCATTTGTAATAGAATGACTACTGTGATCCATTTCTCTTCCCAAAGAAAAAAAGAACTTAATTTCTTTGTAGTAATGATTTATTAATTAGGATGATCTACATTTCAGCAAATTCATACAGTCTCTGAAGAAATTTCAACTCTACTACAAACTTTTCTAAAGTTTTTCTGAAGTTCACTTATTCAAATGTAAGTTTAAAGATGGCCGGGAAAAAAACGTTTTTTCTTCCAGGCATGTATTAGTAAATCAATAATATGTATGTTGCATCAGACAAAGAAAAACATCTATCAATTGTTATTTTATGACAAATTAAGTAGTAGAGAAAACCAAAAAGAAAACAAAATAAATAATTTTTGACAGCGACGCTCTCTCAAGAAAAAACAAAAACATCCACTGTCAGAGGAGGAAATCGAAAATGAGTCAAAACTTGAGACGATGTTGATTTTGCAAAAATTCAAATGAACTTTTCACTGTTTTTCGTATAGTATCTTTTCTCTTCTCTCTTATTTTATCATTTTATCCTCTCCTTTCTTTCTATTTCAGTCTGTCCATTACGTGGCAATTCAATTAATATTCATCCAAATGCTCGATGGCAACAGAATGGTCTCACTGTGGCTGGAGGAAATGGAAAAGGCAATGGAATTCATCAACTTTCCTATCCATTGGGTCTGTATGTGGATGATGATCAAACTATATATGTTGCTGATTGGTCAAATCACCGTATTGTGGAATGGAAATCGGGTGCGACGAGTGGCCAAGTGGTTGCCGGTGAAAATGGACAAGGAAATGCGGATCATCAGTTGTCTCATCCAATAGATGTGATTGTCGACAAAGAAAGAGATAGTGTCATCATCTGCGATGGTTCAAATAGAAGAGTGGTTCGATGGCCTCGTCAAAATGGTACTAGGGGAGAAACAATCGTCGCCAACATCGGTTGTGTGGGTTTGACAATGGACGAGAATGCATCTCTCTATGTCGTTGATGAAAGAAAACATGAAGTGAAACGATATCGAAGAGGAGAATCTCAAGGAACAGTGATTGCAGGTGGTAATGGATATGGAAATCGTCTCGATCAACTCTCTTGTCCACAATACGTATTCGTCGATCGAGATCATTCCGTATATGTGTCTGATTGTTCCAATCATCGTGTGATGAAATGGGAAGAGGGTGCAAAACAAGGTATAATCGTGGCTGGCAATCAAGGACAAGGAAATAGTCTTACACAATTGTCAAATCCTTATGGAATCATTGTCGATCAATTGGGCACTGTTTATGTCGCTGATTGTTGGAATCATCGAATCATGCGTTGGTTCAAAGGAGCCACGAAGGGAAGTGTTATTGTTGGTGGAAACGGTAGAGGAGAACAATCGAATCAGCTCAATGAGCCCGTCGGTTTATCATTCGATCCACACGGTAATCTCTATGTCGTCGATTGTAGAAATCGTCGAATACAAAAATTCAATATAGAATAAACTCATTACGATGCTTAATTTTATGTTTTTGTTCTATTTTCCTTACAAATAAATCAAGATTGAATAAAAAAAGAATCAATAACTATTCAATTCGCACGTGCACGCCATTAGGAACCATCTTGATCTAACCGTGGCAAGTGCTCATAAATAAATGAATATTTATTTAAAAAAAAATTATTTTTGATTATATACTCAGCAGTAGGATATTCAATGAAGCAAATTATTTATTGATAAATGAATCAAAAATAACTTCGTCACATTTATGCGACGAAGTTGTAACTTCGTCAATATGAGGCGACGAAGTTATAACTTCGTCGACCGGTGTAACTTCGATACAACATATACACGCCTAACTGCGGTTTTCATTCTAGCGGTTATTACCGGTTTTATAAACCACGGTGTTCTGTATTATAACCACGGTGACTTTTCATTTTGTTTAAAAAAATCTCTATTAATTTGAAATACATCTGTTCATTATCATTTTCATATTAAAGTGATATACCAGAAGATACTTGATCTAGCACAATAGACGGATTTCCAATACATCTGCAAATTGTGGTCGTAGAAATTTCACAAATTGACTCATAAAAAATGCTGCAGCATTTATTGGTTTTTTTTATCTGTTTTTGTTGAGAAGTGATTGTAGTCGAATCAGAAAAAAACAGTACTAGTTTTTCGATAAATTAATAAAAACGAATGATTGTTAATGCAGACTGTTTTAAGAGAATTCAGATGGTAGAAGACTCGTTTTACTTTAAAAGCAACCCACAAAATTTTACAAATAAAGTTCATTGCAGTTCTATCAACGCCTAACGGTGTAACTAGAAGGACCGCAATTTTCTGCGGCGAGATCGCAGAGTTCTATATCGCGGTTAGAAGCTGTTTCAGAAACCACGGTGTCGCTGTGAAAAACCGCGGTGCATATCGAAGTGTTAAGTAATGTGTAAGGACAATCAAGGTGTCGTGCCCCACTTTTTCTGTCAAATTGTTCGATCATTAAACAGATAATTCATCTGACTCTACAAAGGTAATTTGTGGAAATGGAGCTCAAGAGAGGCGCCTTCACTGCCCCTTGAAGGGATCACACCTGAAACGTTCAAGTCACAGGTTATGTTCGGCATACCAGAGTCGGTTCACTCTAGTGTGTCGGAAAAAACCGCGGTGTGCAGCGGTATTCAAAACCACGGCTTGAAGTGATTTTTTAATATCATGGTAGTCAGATCATTTGTGCGTTTCTCCGAAACCGCTCAGAATCGCGATCTCAAAAACCGCGGTTTTGAGCGATTTCGGAGAAACGCACAGATAGTCTGACTCCCGGCATCTGAAAGTACCGACCAAAACCGCGGTTTTGAATACCGTTGCCTACCGTGGTTTTTTTTGAAAATTCTTTTTCGTGGGTAGTTCGAATAATTCGTTGTTTTAAGCTCAACAATCTGCTTTATCATCTATGTCAATGTTTTATTATCGAATCACAAATATTTGTTTGCAATAATTTTTCTTTTTTTCTTCGCTTTCAAATATTTCTTTTCCTACAAATTATTCATTAACAAAAACAAAAGAAAACTTCAATTAGTAAGTTGAATTTATAGCAAACGATAATTTGTATATTTTAAATAATTTGATTTTTTTTAGATCAAACATTTTCTGCTGTAATTGAACCCTTGTTTTTTATTGAAACACCAATCAACAGCAATAGAGAGGAGTCGTTTATCATGTGTTTGCTTTTCCTAAATGTCTGTAATTATGAAAATACAACAAAAAAAACTTCGATTAGTAAGTTAAGAAAAGAAAATTGTTTATATTTTGAATAATTTTTGTTATTTTTTAAGATCAAACATGTTTCATGATGTAGTTGAATGTTGTATTATCGAATCACAAATTTATGATTAGCACAAATGAATCAAATAATCAAAGTTTTCGGCTTCATTTATTAATTGTTAAATTATTCATAATTTTGTGAATTATTAAATAAATATATGTTGTTAATATAATATAAACTGACGATGTGACAGAGCTTAACCTGAAGAAAAGAAAACAATTTCAAAAAGTTTTTGAACATCGAAAACGAAAAAATTTTAAAGTACACAGAATTCAAATGACAACATCCTATGAGAGATATTAGTTATTAGAAGATGTTTAGAGTCTTTATGATGTATATCTATTGGGGTCGTAGATGTATGGGAGTGTGAGTTATATATGTTGAGATGAGTATTTTGCTTTCTTTTATCCAACAGCATATGCAAATCCGTATTATGAGTATTAAAACTTTTTGTTTGAAATTAAATTTTATTCGTTCACCTTGTACAGACAGATGACTCTGAACAAATAGTTTAATAGAATTTGATTCTTGTTCACGATAATATCATATCTTAGATAAATTTTATTGAAAAAGTCTAAACAAATGTAAACCATCTTATTAAAGACAAAAGAAAAAGAAAAAAATGATTCGTTGTTGAGCTTGAGCAAATATATAATCGCAAAATATCATTAAATATGGTAATTATCATCGTTATTTTGTGAATTAGATAATATCATTGTATTCATTTCAGACTAATCAGAAAAACAAACAAGAGAAATAGAATCAAATAATAATAACCTATTCGACGTAGAAATTTTGATCATTTTTTTCTTTCTATAGATGCTATTTCTCTATTATTCAGATTATTTAATATTGATGGTCGTTATTATTTTCATCATTATATAAATTGAACAAAATTATTTTTCATTCTATTCATCTTTATCTTAATATCAAAATTAAATTAACGACTTTGTTATTATTAAAGGTCTTGATCTATGATAGTGATGTTTCCATTTTTCGCAATACACGATGATATATCGGAACAACTAATGTAGACGGTGTTCATCCATATAATATTTGATGAATTATATTTTCCATTGAGTACTGACGACGATCGAGAGTAAAAATATTATTAAAGCTTTTGCATTCATTCCTATACTTCGTTATCTTCAAAACAAGGCTGTAGGTTCCCTCTTTTATTTTTCCACCGCAACAATACACATTTTCCACGTTGAATACCACTTGAACATAGCGGTGAAAATATTGTCTTCAGTCAGACTTCAATTAATAATTCTCTATATTTATTTTTATTCATTTTTTAACAAAATAACATTAACAGAAATAGAAGAAAAATATATTTATAATGATGGAAAATAAAGATAGAAGTTTTTTGAAAATACTATTGGTATTGAATCAAAAATAATGCTTTTCAATTTTACGCAGTTGTCACGAGCAGCATCATTTGTAAAATTTTCTGTTATAGTCATCAAATCGTCATACTTAGCATATAAAGTATTAAGATGAGGTAAACGCGTCTTTGTATTAAATATAAATTGTTTAACATAGTCAATGTGTACCAAATTAAGATTGAGTTTTACACGATGTAAATACTCAATAATTGAACATGTTTGTTCATGTTCATTGAGTTGATCTGTTAATTTCTTTTGCTGTGCACATATATTTAATAATATCAATTCATTAATTAATGGAAAAGCTCGAGATATTTTAATAAAGAGATCATGTTCGAATGGAACAAATAGATCATTAAGACTTAGTATACGAACGCTCATGAATAGACCACCGGGAAAACTGTTAGTAATATTGTACATGCGTTTCATAGTAAACGGAAGCGAATAAGTATGGCATAGATTTATTCCTTGTGAATAATAATCAATATAACAATCAATATGGTATCCTCTTTCAATAAATGTACGCCGAACATCATAAGAAGATGATAGTACTGCTTGGAGAAAAAACGACGTCTCTATTGGCGATATCAAAAATAAATGTATGTAGATGTGCCATTTTACAAAATATATCGTTATGTAATTGTGTACCATCTATGAATGAAGTTCGATCTTTAACAACAAGAGATAATGTAAGTTCCTTTAAATGTGACATGTGACGAAGAAGTGGTACGATACGAGTATTATATGCGTTTGTTCGACCAGAACCAAACAATGAGAAACATTTTAGATTAGATAGAATTAGCTACAAGAAAAAATCAATTAATATAGATAGTAATCGCACTTTCAAGGATATTGTTAAAGAACACGATCTTAGTGAAAAGTTGACTGATCGTTTCAAAACTCTTCGCGAAGATATTCAGTTTTTGACAAGATTTTGAAAAAACCTCGTTGAGCTACCAACATCGGACTGCAATGACTCATGACTTTCTATTATTGACATGTTATGTCATGGTTTCCCTGAAAGTTTCAACGAAACAGAATAAGAAATGTGGTTGCTGCATCGATCTCATTCGTGACTAACAAAAAGCAGTGAAAAATCCGCTGTTCAGAGCCTTTCTCTAGCGAGTTGGAAAGTTATGCCAAATGAAACCCGACATTGCCATGACGTTCAATATAGATGATAACTCATGTTTTCATGTGTTTTGTAATCGTGTCACACCTAAAGAAAGATGAGTCCTAGGACTTACAAAAAACTGTCTGCTTTCTCTAGACTATCTATCCATATAAAAATATTAATAAATTCCTATGGTAGCTTGTAGAACTTCAGTGTGCTTTTCTAAAGATTCTTTGTTAAACTAGTCTTTGACTTATATCTCAGAAAAGATTTTGGTCATGAAAATTTATTGCTGGATCTTGGCTATGATATTTTGAAAGCCGCAAATATTTATCTTGTTCCTATGAAAAGCTATTCAAAAAAGCAATCGATGCCCTTCCATTTTGAAATAAATACGAATATATAACGTATAATGCAAAAGCAAACGGATAAATGTTGCCCTTCTCTCCCACTCTCCTCCCTATCTCGTCGATAGAACCATGCTAGAAGAAAAGATTTTTTTTATCAGAAGATAGAGAATTATTTCCTCTTTCGAGTCGTCTATAACTCATTTTTATCACACGTTCACAAACCAAATGACGCAAGAAGAAAGAAAATCATCCTTGAAAAGAATCTGTACTTTTCATATAATGCAATTTAACGATACAAAATATTTACTAAACACGTATTGACACCATAA